ATATATATATATATATATATATATATATATATATATATATATATATATATATATATATATATATATTTCTTAGATATTTTTTTCTCACTATGTGCATGTATACATAAAAAATACAGGAAAATTTATTTGTGGAAATATAAAATTTATCTCACGGAAATATAAAATTTATCTCACGGAAATAATAATTATTTCTCGGATACAATAATTATTTCCATGAAATAAACTTTGTATCCTACAAGTAAATTTTTAAGTATTTTTTTTAGTGTAGTAATATAGCTTTCTACTAACTACTAGACAAGTTGATTATTTTATGATTCTAAAATATACAATAAAAAATGGCAAATTGGTAAAAGACTTTTTTACTCAGTTTCACTTATATCTACAGATATACGACGGCAGGTGTCGCCATCACAACTCATCTGCCATGTCGCGCATAATCATTCGCCAATCCTCTTTAATTAATAATCCAAAATTTTACATAATTTTTTGCAAACTGGAGGAAGAATTTTGTGTTCTGTTTGACCTAATCCACACGTACGCGAGGTATGACTCAGTAAACACAAAATAACAATAACATAACTGTTAGATATAATTTCCTACTGAAATAAGTAAGAGAATACACAACATTTATAAAATATTTTAAAAATATACATATGAATTATTTTGTAAATATTCAAAAATGCCCTGGAAACTCAAATATAAAAAAATTACGATAAATATCAAAAAAATAAGAAGAATGATTTTAATAATTAAAATATGATTTTACTTTAGTTAAACTACGTTTTAATTATTCAAAAAATATTCTTCATAAATATTTTTTGGATATTTATCATAATTTTTTATATCTAAACTTCCAGGACATTTAAATATTTGCAAAACATTTTATATCTATATTTTTGTAAAATATTTTATAAATATTCTATGCTGTATAAGTCTCATTACTCACTGACGAGTCGCAGCGATGTAAGCTTCGAACAGCCACGGCACGACGACCACTTCACTTTGTTCCTCCGGTAGTCCATTTCACGAGTTCATTGTGTGCGGCACTTGGACGACGTTTCGACGACGAAACTGACCCCCAACGGCGAAAATTCGCGCGCGAGGCTCTCCTTTGCCGCTCGAAAACGTAAAGCAGCATCGCAACCGAACGACACGAAATCCGAGCCATTGTGAAGTCCATGTCGCACTACGGATTGGAAATGAAGGATTGCGAATCGAAGATTGGATTTCGACGAATCGACCAACTTCGGTTTTGGCTCACTTTGTTTCAATCGGTGGAGTTTCAACCTTCAATCCTCAGTCTCCGATCCATAGTCTGATAAGGCTTTTGCACGTCAAAAAGTTTTAATCGTAGCCGTAAGAGGCTGAGCACAATAAAAGGAATAAAAAATAGGAAATCGAGAACAGGAAACAGAGAATAGGGAACAGTTCAATATTAAAACACGAAACCTAATTTATCAACGTAGAATAAAGGAACAGAGGAATAGCGTTATTTCTTGTTTTCAGTATTCCTTATTTCTTATTCTCTGTTCCCTGTTTCTTATTCCTTTTATTGTACTCCCTTAATCGTAACCGTAATTCCGTAAATTTCCAACACATACAATCAAACAGAGCAAGTGAAAATTCATATACAGCCTTACGATTACAAATTTTCACTTGCGTTGCTTTATCTGATTGTGTATTGGAAATTTACGGAATTACGGTTACGGTTAAGAATTTCTGACGTGCAAAGGCTTATACGGACGTAATACATGGCGATCGCGCCTCACTTCGACACTGCCGACGGTCTGCTTCGCAAGACGGTTGCTCTTGGCGACTATTTACCAACATCACATCATGTCACTCGCGTACAACCCGCTCCCGGCGCTTCCAACGACAAAAATTCGTACGCGAGACTCATCTGTGTCCCGGAGAAACAGCAAAAAAAACGCAAACGCTTCCCGAATCCGAACTGGCGCGCCGCCATCATGGCGACAGAGATTTTCGATAAAGATATCGATGCCCGAGGTATCGATTCTCGTGATGTCGATGCCCTCGACTCGAAAGCGTCGGCCAATCGCATGGCTTCGTTCCTTCCGTGGAAAACCCGCGATATAAATCGCGCCTCATAAAACGCGAGTGTCTTCGATAACATTGATATTGTTACATTATTGTAAGCAGCAATAATTTCTTGCTAACTTTAACGTAGATGATTCTACATCTGCGAGATTCTTCTGTTCGACGAAAAACGACGAGCTCAGCCTCGCCAGAGAGAAGCCTGAGAGCGGCCACCAGCTTGATTTTAGTGGCCAGGCGCATTTTCGAAACGCCATCTAACAATGTGCGCCTTTACTACGTTCGTTAGACGCATTTTCGAGGTGGTAACGCAAAAACGTATAGTAAGTTAGAAGCATTGAAATATACAGGGTGTCCGGTAACTGATCGAGCAACCACCGTGTACAGGTAAAACAGGTCAAAATAATCATAAAAGTTATATACCATTTTGAAATTTTCTCAATATTTATTTCGTAATTAAAATGTATAAACAAATCAATGCACGAAAAGCGGTAGAACAGGCTCTGTATGTAAAAAAAAATGGCTTACCTCTTAGCAACGATGAGTAAACAGCTGATTTCGAGACGGAGTAACGTATATGTGTCGCTTGTTACTCCGCCTCGAAATCAGCTGTTTACTCATCGTTGTTAAGAAGTAAGCCATTTCTTTTATACACAGAGCCTGTCCTACCCTTATAGAAATATCATACTAAGAATTATTGATAATTACTTATTTTCAGTATTAAAAATACTGGATAATAAGTAATTATCAATGATTCTTAGTATGATATTTCTATAAGGGTACCGCTTCTCGTGAGCTCATTCGTTTATACATTTTAATTAATTACGGGAGTATTATTGAGTATTGCGGGATGAGAGAGAGCATGCTTATAGATCTTGAACAGCGCTCTGTCTTTGTCTAGTACAGTCTGAACCAAAAGCTAAGTCGGCTGATTTCTAAACATAAGCTGAATCTCCGAATTAGGAACCATCTTTGCTTTGTTTTTCTTAATTATAAGTCGATAAGTGAATACTAATAAATGAGAAAAAGAAAATATATATTTTTTTGTATCTTAAACTTTCGTTTATAAGCTTGAGTCATTACCATTCAGTGATCACTGTTTTTCATATTATCTCTAACTTTTAACTTGGATTATATCACATTCTCCCCACTCTAATTATACTATGAACCAGACAAGGATAAGAGAGGAAACAAGGAACCTCTCTCTCATCCCGCACGCCTCAAAAGGCAGCGCGCGTTCCAGTAGTATATATGTCAGTGGTTAGAAGTTATATATAGTAAGTTAGAAAAGGACAGATGTCCAATCGCTCTGTTCTTGTCTCACCACTGATGAGCGGACCGCGCGACATAGGTATGAAGCCAGGTAGTGGCGAACTTATAGCGAAACTAGATTACCTCTCATCAGTTTTGTCTTTCTCGCACTGCGTTCTGCGTAATTTTGTAAAAAAAAATGATTTGGAAACTCTCTGGACAAGTTTAAACATGCCGCTCATATTTTTTGCTTATTTCTTGGCAACAAAAGATATCGATGTGATTCAAAGAAAACTATGTTCTTCACAATTTATCATGTTGGAATTCAAAGTTTATAATAATACTAATAATACTAATACTATAATAATACTATTAATAACGATTCATTAAATAAGCGTGGAGGTGTGTGTATTTTTCGACGTCGCTGACATTTTACCACCAATTGCATTTTTCGCGCATTTCTCGGCAACCACTAAAGATATCAAAGTGACTCAAAGGGCACTATCTATCCCCACAATTCATCCTATTAGAATTGGTAGTTTATAATAATACGAATAATACCGGAGACCAAACAACTCGATTCGAATCTCGGCTCAATAATTTAGCGGAGACTCCAAATACATCGGTTCGAATCTCGGCTTAATAATTTAGAGGGAAAATTTGGTGAAATATGGTGAGATAGAGTGAATTCAACGTTAAGAACGCGACTTTGGGATATTGGAAAATTATTTTTAACACTTTGGGCGTGTTACTGAGGAAGTAGAGTAACTTTAACACACATACAAGAGATAATACAGAGCGAAGTACGCACGTCATTTTTAGAAAACCCCCTTTGCAAAATGCGAAAATTACATTAAAAAACTGTAAAAAATTATCCCAGAATAAACTCTAGATGCTAACATCATATGACCTAAATAACCTGTAATAATATGACCGACTTTCGACCCATCCCCTAGAACCTGACGTTCCTACGACGCTACGTTGGATCCAACGTTATGAACGCAGCTTTGGGCTATTGGAAAATTATTTTCAAGATTCTGGGCATGTTACTGAAGGAGTAAAGTGACATTAAAGCACATTGTCATCCAAGAAACGATGCAGAGCGAAATACGTACACTTCACATCGTTTTCGAAAATACACCTTTGCAAACGCGAAAATTTCTTTAAGAAATTCCAGGCTTAACTAACTCGACTTAATAAATTAGCGAAGATTCAAAACACTTCGGTTTAAATCTCGGCTTAATAATTTAGCAGGAAATCGAAACATTTCGGTTCAATTCTCGGCTTAATAATTTAATTTGTTGTCTTTAATTTGTCGAAATTTAATTTGTTTTGTCAACAACAA